CCCCCCCCCCTAGATCTCCTACAGGAGTTAACTAATCATTTAGTCTCACAAATGATGTTACTTGTCGTTTAAGTATCACTGACATTTTTCTCAGCTGAAGGGTGTTATTTGTCATAGCTTTTAACTCTTCCAAGTGAATTAGAAAAAAAATCAACTGGCTGGAATGGAGAATTACTCATCAAAACAAACGTGGATCCTGGAATTTTTGAAAATGGTGTCTAAACCTTAATTCAGAAAACAAAAAATATGTATATATTTACACTATGAACTAAATAAACTAAAGAATATTTCAAGGCAAATGAACATAAAGCACTCCATAATTTGTTTATACATGCACTGCTTTCGTTGTAAGGATTTTCGTTTCAGACAGATGGTGAAACTCACGAACGGGTCTGATGAGAAGGGGGTTTTCACCTTCCCCCACTCCCCCTCCTTCCTGAGCCTCCCCCCTAGATCTCCCACTCTATACCTTGGGTGTTATGCAGTGGTTGTTCCCATAGCGTAGCCGATACTTTACCGAAATGTGTTTACGACGTCTTCTCTCTTAATTTTAGATATTACCGTGTGATCGTGCGAGAGTTTGCAACAAACAACAGAGACCGGCCTGTGCCGGCGGATAACGAGCCTAAAGATTACGGAGAAGAAGATTTATACACTTACGAAGAAGCTAGAGAAATGAAACCTAAGCTGGTGCCTTACGTTGCTGTAGAGTTTCCCGCAGATAAATTTGATTCCTTCAAGAACTTTAAAGTAGGAGATGGAAAGCGATACTACAGGATACCGGACGATATTGTTAGCAAAAAAAATAGGAAAAGAAGAAGACGAAGAAGAGAAATCGACGACAGCGTCGATGAATTTTACAATGGTCCTCTGGAAGAAAACACATTTTATGCTGTGTTTCAGCGCGCCTATGTTAATAAGGTTAGTTAAGCTATCATGAACTGCAGTCGGTGACAATCGACTGCTGTGTTTAGTCTCGAAATGTCAATTGAGCAACATCCAATCAGAGACTAACACAGAGTGATTTGGTATTATCAACTGAGTTAATAACATAAATTGGCCACCGTAAAAAGTTTTAAAGCTGACGTTTCGAGCGTTAGCCCTTCAGCAGAGCCTTTCGTTGGAGCGTTAGCCCTTCGCTCTGACGAAGGGTGAACGCTCGAAATGTCAGCTTTCAAACTCTTTACGGTGGCCAATTTACGTTATCAACTCAGTTGAAAATACCAAATTACCTTGTTATACTCTCCCACCGACGTAGCATTACAGTTTCTTTAGAAACTAACCCCCGTCATTCAGAGACTGACACAGCTGTGAGGGCTTCTCAAAGGCAAAGTCGTCAATTGACTAAGTTTATTGGATCAAATTAAAGATTTGGAAGGGATCATGGTTTTGAACTGAAACAATAACAGGTCTCCAACCGATACTTTTATCGTTTGCAGGACGTTTTTACTTCAAGTGAATGGATGGATCCAGTCGCAACAGGTATGTTTCATAGAAAGCAGTATTTTCCGTAAAAGGCTCAGATCACCCAATTTTTTCTTTTAGACGACGAGCTGTTGTTTGGATGGTACTTTCCATCAATTTCAGTGCTTCGGAGTCACGCAAATTGCTATGAGTAGTGCGCAATATGTGACAACAATCAACGTGAACAGCGGTTACGTTTTGAGTTTATCAGCGGTTAAAGCGTCGCTAAAGCCTTTTAATAATTGTCAAAACGAGAATCGTTTGATTTGTCTTCATGCTATGATTTTGGCTAAACGAAACGCCTTGGTGTAGAAAGTGATTGAAAAAGTGAGAAGAAAACAGAATAAAAAAATTAATCAAACAAACAGACAAAAATAAAAAATGAAAAAACCAAATAACCGAAAAAAAAAAAAAGACCAACCAGAAATCGAGAATAACAAGAAATCAACTCATCTACCTCACAATCGCCCCTTGATGTAATTGACTTTAACAAGGCTGGTATTTCGGGAGTGTGTCGGTGAACTGGAAAATGTAAGTTGATTGTCGTTATTTTGCTGCCGATCTGACGGGCCCAAAGGGTCGTTATGTCCTTGGTAGCAAAGATGTCTGTGTGGCAAAAAGCGTGGTATGCATTTTCACCAAGTTTTTCTGGCCTCTGATCTGTCTAGTTTTTGAGTGTCGTATATCTTTTTTCAGCGGCGGCGAGGAGTCCAAGTGAGGCACCGCCATCCTCATCAAACACTGGTCTCATTGTAGGAATTGTTTTCATTCTCCTTGTTGTCCCAGTTGTGTTGGCAGCGGCCTACTTTATCTGGTGAGTCATTACATCACTTTTCCCCAGGCTCACTCCACACCACGTCCAGTAACTTTCTGAGTAACGTGTTCTACTAAAAAGGCCCCCCCCCCAAAAAAAATTTCTGTCTACTCTGTCAAACTGATGAAATTGCTAACATCCACATTTACATCATCAGCGGCAGAAATCTTTGAATGCATTCTTAGACATGCGCTTGATACGAGCCTATGTATCCGCGAAAAAACGCAGTGACATTGGCGTTATTGAAATATTCACCGTTCATGCGAGCAACAAGGCGGTTGTTTTCAAATCTATTCACTTTGAAGAACGATAACACAAAGCTGTTGTATATAGAATACTACAGGGGAGTT